GCGGAGCGGCTTGCCCCCCCGGCCTGTCCCCCCTGTCCCAGTGCTCAGCTCATCTCCCTGCCCTGCCTGGGGCTGCCATCCCCCGACCTGCACTGAGCTGGTCAGGCCTCTGCGCCGGGGCCACTCGCGTCCCCCTTGGTGACCGGTCTCTCTGTGCCTACACGGCGAAGACGACGCTCCCCCGGGAAAGGTTCCGCGGAGGGATGGGTCGGGGGAGGGGTGGCCCCCTGCCACCCTCCCATTGTCTCCTTCTCCCCAGCCCCAAGTTCAAGTTCGTCCCAGATTACCTCATGTCTGGTTTCCGTTGGCAACGAGACAGATCGGGGCCACTGCTTCCCTTAACCCTTCCCAGCCCCACCACACATGACCTGAGAGCAGCAGGTCTCAGCTACCCCTGCAGGGACACGAGACACCGTTTTGTCTACCTTGTGCCTCAGTTTCCCCACACAGATCATCCTTGAGCCCTGGGGTGGCACCCGGTGTGTGACCAGACACATGCACACAGGGACAGACACCCTGGGGACCTGGGGCTGCAAGTGACCCTGACCCCTGGGGTCTGGGGGGGTGCAAAGACCCCAGCAACCTGCTCCCCTGGGGCTCTCCCAGCGCTGCCCCGTCTCTCCCTTTCAGGGTCCCAAAGGCCGCGGGGTGCCCACCTACTGCAGCAGGTAGGGGGCTGCAGCCAGAGCTCAACTCCAGCATCTGCCTCCTGCTATGCCACAGCACCGTTGAGTGTCCCAGCTCCTGGGACAGTGTCCTGGCAGAGCACCGAGCACCTCTGGGTACCCCCAGCACAGCTCAGCACCCCGAGCACTCAGCCCCAACAGATGCTGCACCCCAGGGTGCCCCTGGCACAGCTCCATCCATGCATCTATCTCACAGCCCTAGCATTGGCCTCACCTGCCAGGCAGGGCTGCAGCCTCCTGCCCCTGCTGGCATGGCTGAGGCTGGCCAACTCATCTCACAAGTGAGGCAAGGTGCTGGCACTCCTGCCCTGGCCCTGCAGTGCTGCCCATGGTGCTGGCACCGGCTCACAATCTACCAGTTATAAAATATCCAGTAGAAAGGAAAAGCCCCTGGGAAGGCGCGTGCTACATCCCACAGCAGCTGGAGCTGCTGGCAGGCACCAGCAGGTGAGAGTGGGGTACCCACACCCCTCTGGTGAGGGGACATGTGGCCCAAATGCCCCTTGTCTGGGGATGCTGTGGGCACTGGGGCAGCCCGGTTGTGCCATGCTGCCAGGCAAAGTGCCAGGCAGAGGCACAGCAGGGACCCCCCTTTGCCCTGGGGGACCCTCGGTGGCTCTGAGCCACCAGCAGTGCCTGAGGCCTCGGCACAGGGCGCCAGGTGGTGATGCCCATGGTAGCAATGCCCATGGTGGCGATGTCAAGGCAGTGATACCTACAGCAACGTGGCAATGCCAGGGCAGCGATGCCCAGGGCAGTTACATCCACAGCGGCAATGCCCACGGTGGCACTGCCCATGGCAGCACTACTCATGGCACTGATGCCACTGCAGCAAAGCCACGGCAGAGGTGCCCACAACGGCGCTGCCTGCAATGGCCACGCCCATCGTGGCGATGGCTACAGCAGTGATGCCACGGTAGGGGTGCCCATGTCACCGAGGCCATGGCAGTGACCCCCATGACGGCGGTGCTCCCGAGGGCTGTGCCTGTGGTGGCGATGCCCACGGCGATGCCACGGTGGCGGTGCCTGGGGCAGGAGGGTCCCCCCAGAAGTGTCCCCGCTCTCACCTGTGCCTGATAGATACTCCCAGGGTCCCTTGGTCCTAATCCCACGAAGGAACGGTTCGCAGGGGGCGTGCCTGGTGCAGAGTAGGCTGGGGAACAAACGAGAGCTCGTTAACGGGGCTGTGGGTGGCACTGCCATCGGCCTCCTGGCCCAGACCTGGCCTGCTGGGACAGGCACCCCAGGCACCCAGAGCTGGGCGATGTCTCTGCCTGCGGGTGAGCGGAGGCTGAGGGGGCTGTGCCCGTGGTGCTACCTGTGCTGGGGGGCAAGCACAGAGCGGTGCTCTCAGCACCGCCGCTTCCCCAGCAGACCTGAGATGGCAGCCACCAGCTCCACTCAGCTAAGTCCCCCCTTTGCCACCTCCTGCCTGAGCTGGGGGTCTAGCAGTGGGACCCCTGGCCCTGCTGAGCTCCTGGGCTCAGCCCTGCTAGAGGCAGGGGGCTGTCGGGGGAGCCACTGTGCCCCGCGGGGACAGCCAGCATCCTCGGCATACATCCTACCCAGAGCCCGGTCAGGGACTGGCACTGCCCAGTCCCTCCCCGTGGCCGTAGCCCTGTCAGTTGCTGGGCCACGCCACCCCGAGCTCTGCCCTCCAGATCAGCCAGGCTTTGAATTCACGCCACAAACCCTCAACACCCACCAGCCAGCAGCGGGTGGCACACAGCAGTGGCCTGTCCCCGGGGACAGTGCCCCCGGGCAGGGCTCAACCTTCTTGGGGTGCCAGGAGGAGTCCAGTGGGTAGGGGGACAGGAACACCCCCGTTATGGAGTGCTGCAATGGCACCATGTCCCACCACTGCAGCACGTGCCCTGATGCCAGCCTGCAGCTGACACCAGTGTCCCCCCTCTGCTACCCACAGGCCAAAGCCCCACAAGGTGAAGCAAAAGGGGGCTGAACTTATCAGCCCCCACTGCTAATGACGGTCCCCCCAGGCACCTCCAGCCAAGGGCTCTGGTGGTCCCACACATCATCCTTGCACCCATGTTGCTTCACAGCCATTGAGCAGATTGGGGTCCTCAGCGCTGGGGACCCCCACGCAGTGAGAGGATGGCAGCCCCGTGTGACGTCTCCACCAGCCCCGGCGCCGCACCCAGGCCGGCTTCTCCCTGCAACACCAGCAGCACTGCCACCAGCCACTGAGGCGGGGAGAGGCCGCAGCCTCTCCCAGAAGCCCTGTCCACAGCACGGGCGTTTGGGCAGGACATCAGCTTGTGGGAGCCCCACCACGGCTCCACTCCCACTCCTCTGGCCGCCTCCCAGGGATGTGGGGCTCAGACCGGTCCCTGGGACCAGTGTGGGACCCTTTGATTGGTGGACACAACAGCCACCTGCTCAGACCTTGCCTGCTCTGATCTGCCTGAGACCCAGCAAACTCACTGTGTGCCGGCTGCCGCCCTCTCCCCGGCTGCAGGGAGGCCACCTCCACCAACATCCCCCAGGCAGCACAGAGGTGGGGAGGGGAATCTTGGAGGGGGCTGTGAGAGGAGGGGGCCAGGGGTGGGCGCCGCGGGGTGCTTACTGGGTGATGTCGGTGAGGTCGTCCCTCCCTCCGTGGTTGTCGTGGTGGATTTGGTGTCAGGAGAGACGGCCAAGCGGGGCATGCCAGGGGGAGGTGGCGGCGCCAGCATCTGTGTGGGCAGGTAGTGGCTGGGCACCTTCACTTGACCACTTCCATTTAACTGGGGACACAACACAGACAGAAAAACAAACAGCACAAGCCATTAGGAAGCAGGAGCAGCCCTGGCAATGCCGGCCCGGTGAGCCCCTGGTGCCACCTGGCACTAGTGTGGAGCGTCCCTCACTGCTGACACGAGTTTGTTGGGTCTCAGAGCAGCCCTGAACAGTCGGCGCTGGCGACAGGGAAATGACGGCGGTGCAGGGGAGATTCAGAGGGGCTGGGGGGGTCGTGCCCCACGGCGGCGCTTGCTGGAGCCAGGGCACTGTGCCCCCCTCTCCACTAAGGGGCACCCCACGGTGCTGGAATGGCACGGGCCTCCAAAGGCTCCGGTACCACCTCCCTGTGCCCAGGCTGGTGGGAGCTGCTCTGGATGTGGCTGGTGCCAGCCCAGCACTGCCCAGCACTGCACTGGGGAAGGAGCCGGGCCCCTCACCCTGGTGTTGGGCCTGGCCAGTAAAGGGCAGCAGGAGGTGCTGGGCACAGCTCAGAGAGTCTCCCGAGACTCTCTGCAACTGGGGTGCACTGCAGTGGAAATGTAGCCACCTCCAGCCACTGGCTGGGACATGGAGGGAGCCCAGGGGTGCTGGGTGTTGGGGTGCTGAGTATAGGGGGTGCTGCATGTTAGGATGCTGGGTCTGCGGGGTGCTGGGTGTTGGGGTGCTGTGCATGTGGGGTGAGGTGCTGTGTGTGGGGTGCTGAGTGCTGGGGTGCTGGGTGTGCGGTGATAGGTATTGGGGTGCTGGATGTGTGGGATGCTGGTGCTGGGGTGAGGGAAGGCACACAGCAGCAGGGTGTGGCCGTGCCACTCCTGTGGGGATGCTGAGGGACACGGCACCGCGGCGGGGCTGACGGGTCACCCGCTGGCCCCCCAAGCAGATGGGGCACACGGGGCCTGTTGCTCCCCCA